TGCCCATTCTTCCTGCAAAACAGCTCGAGCTCAGTGAGGTTGGATGGAGAGCGTTTGTGAACAGCAGTCTTCAGCTCTTTCCACAGATTCTCGATTGGATTCAGGTCTGGACTTTGACTTGGCCATTCCAACACCTGGATACGTTTATTTGTGAACCATTCCATTGTAGATGTGTCTTTATGTTTTGGATCATTGTCTTGTTGGAAGATAAATCTCCGTCCCAGTCTCAGGTCTCTTGCAGACTCGAACAGGTTTTCTTCCAGAATGGTCCTGTATTTGGCCCCATCCATCTTCCCATCAATTCTGACCATCTTCCCTGTCCCTGCTGATGAAAAGCAGGCCCAAACCATGATGCTGTCACCACCATGTTTGACAGTGGGGATGGTGTGTTCAGGGTGATGAGCTGTGTTGCTTTTACACCAAACACATTGTTTTGCATTGTGGCCAAACGGTTGGATTTTGGTTTCATGTGACCAGAGCACCTTCTTCCACATGTTTGGTGTCTCCCAGGTGCTTGTGACAAACTTTAAACAATACTTTTTATGGATATCTTTGAGAAATGGCTTTCTTCTTGCCACTCTTCCATAAAGGCCAGATTTGTGCAGTGTACGACTGATTGTTGTCCTATGGACAGACTCTCCCACCTCAGCTGTAGATCTCTGCAGTTCATCCAGAGTGATCATGGGCCTCTTGGCTGCATCTCTGATCAGTCTTCTCCTTGTTCCAGATGAAAGTTTAGAGGGACGGCCGGGTCTTGGTAGATTTGCAGTGGTCTGATACTCCTTCCATTTCAATATGATTGCTTGCACAGTGCTCCTTGGTATGTTTAAAGCTTGGGAAATCTTTTTGTATCCAAATCCGGCTTTAAACTTCTCCAACAGTATCTCGGACCTGCCTGGTGTGTTCCTTGGTCTTCATGATGCTCTCTGTGCTTTGAACAGAACCCTGAGACTATCACAGAGCAGGTGCATTTATACGGAGACTTGATTACACACAGGTGGATTCTATTTATCATCATCAGTCTTTTGGGACAACATTGGATCATTCATAGATCCTCACTGAACTTCTGGAGTGAGTTTGCTGCACTGAAAGTAAAGGGGACGAATAATATTGCACACCCCACTTTTCAGTTTTTTATTTGTTAAAGTTTGACACATCCAATAAATTTAATTCCACTTCACGATTGTGTCCCACTTGTTGTTGATTCTTCACAAAAAATTAACATTTTATATCTTTATGTTTGAAGCTTGAAATGTGGCAAAAGTTTAAAAAGTTCAAGGGGGCCGAATACTTTTGCAAGGCACCGTATGCAGTATACTGTGTACTTTTACCAACATCATGTATACATTGTTAGCGCTGTCATCATAAGGGCAGGATAAGTTTGAGAAAATCACACTACTCAAATATTCTGTTGCACCACGAGGTAAAGCCACCTCTCCCATTTTATTCTTATCAGTCTCGGCTGTGCACAAATCTTACATCTTATATAGTCCCACAATGATGACGTCAGTGAAGAGTAGGCCTGTCGCAATAAACAATAAATCAATTAATCGCATGATAAATGAAAACGATCTACCTTATTTTCATTTATCGGCTTTATCGTTTCTTCGTGTCTCTTTTTCTACTGAAGACACTGGATGACAAGACTTAACTCCAGTGCTCTTAACTGACCCCTCCCTTTCTCTTTTCTCTTTAAAATCTGTTTTAACAACCCCAAATCGCATTTTTGGATCGTTAAAAGCAGCTAAGCTGAATTGCTAAGCTAACGGGCTGACCTCAGGAAAAAACCTCTGTCTTGTCAGAGCTCCAAAATTCACAGTTGAAACCCGTGCTTTCATCTAAAAAGTTGTTTTTCTCTGCAAAAAGAAGCTGAAAACTTGTTTTACTGATTTATTTATTTATTTTTATAGAGCTCAAACCGCACAGAGCGTCTACCATTTTGAGAACCGGAAACGAGGAAGGAGAGACGGCCCATGTCACGTCAAGGGGCCTCCTCCCATTTTTCTTTAGAGACACACTGCTCGCTCTCTCACTATCCATCCTTAGTTTTAAACAGTCTTATGCAGTCATCCGGTGGTCAAAAAAGGTATCGCATGCAAAACAAATTGACCAACATTTCTTCTTAAATTTGAC